CATGGGTATAAATTAACTCTGTAGATATGATTTAAACACTTTTGTCAATTTCATTTGTAATTCAGGAACACGGCACTGGCTAGCCTGGTGTGGTAGATTGTGCCACATATGAACAGAAAAGCTCTTTCCTACACCCTGTAATTTAAAGTGGTCCTAATTTCTGAATATTTTGGGCAGTGTGCTGGTTTTGGGTCAGGTCACAGGATGGTGTGTGTCACCTTCCATGTGGATGCATATGAGCATTGGGAGGGTTAGACACCTCTGATTTGCAGGTATGTTTAGAAACAAGGGGCTAGATACTGGCCAGGTTTCTCTTAGATCAGATTATTTGGACTCAGCAATGAAGATCATGTCATTTTGTTTCTCTCCACAAACCCCAGCACAACAGGATTTTGAAGCACTGCCGTTACTCAGTACTAATAATCAAATAATAAAACCCAAAGGCAGCGGAAGTGATTAGTTATCCATTGTTCCTGTGCCAAATTTTGCCCTCGGTTGCAGGAGCCTCTTATCCAAATCAATGGGAACTTTGTATCCCACATTCAAGGGCAAAAGGTGGCCTCTTGCCAATGCTTTGAAATTTTGGCTATTTATTTTTTTTTCCTGGCATCTCACTGTACTTCAGCACCTGTAACCCATCCAAGAAGACAACAGTATATTTCACAATGCGAGATGTCCTGCTGCCAACTGAAATTTTGGGTCTAGATTCTTCAGTTTGTGTCCATATCAGACAGTATTTTATTTCCTGATACTGAAATTAGTAGAACTGCTCTGAACAATAAAATGATTAAATATAAATATGTGGCTCTTCATGACTGCTGAAAGCAGGTGCCCTTAGGAAAACAAGCTATAAATGCTCACTGAGGAAACATTCAGTATTTCAGCGCTGGTTTTAAAAATATTGCACTGCTAGATAGTGGAGAGAGTTTGCTTTCAAAATAACAGGAAGAAACTAAGCACTAAATTACTAGGATGTAAGCCTTTCACAGAATGAATCAATCAGTCACAACTTGGTGTATGCATAGTGAAGCATCAAATAAGATGAGTCAGTGGCAAAAGCTCTCATTAACATTAAATAAAATGTCTGTATTTCTCATTAAGTCTCAGTATTAGAGTGAGTAGGAGAGGATTTCAGCCTCAGGAGCAGCTAATGAAAGAATTTCCGTAACACCTTATGGAGAAAGACCATAAGGCACAAACAAACAAAGGCAGCCACTGAGATGCACCAGGACTTGAGCAATATGCTCAAGCTAAGAAATAAAAATACACCTCATCAGCATGAGAATAGAATGAAGGCTGCTAATGCTCAAAGGTCATTGCCACCAAATCTCTGGCTTCTTTATCAGAAAAAAAGAAAAAAAATTCCATTCCATACAATCAGACTGGGGAAAGCATAAATATTAATAGATGAGAACAGCTTCCAAGTGGGCCTGGTGGCAGGTGACAGAAATCTGGACAGCTTGTGACTTTTAGGCAGGATGCCCACCCCTGATTTTATGGATACAGATATCAAGACTTGACAATAGGACTTGTGTGACATTCAGACAACTGTCTGCACCTAAAAATATGTGGACAGAAGTTTTGACTAAAAGGAATAATTTATGGCTGATGGCCTGACAGTGTTTAGGACCTCCCTAGGAGCCGTGAATAACCTTGATGCTTCTTCTTTGTTCATTACCTATAAATTTATTTTCTAAACCCTCACTCAGCTGTCACTGCATTTCCTCTGCTGCTCTCTATTGTCTTTGCAGGGTATTTCAGTTTGCTGCATGTAATCTTGTTTTTCAGTGAGGTGTGTGCAAAAAAAAAAAAAAAAAAAAAAAAAAAGTCCACATCTCCAAATATATGTGTAATTCTCTTGGGTTTTCTTCTGTATTTGATTTGGGGTTAATCTCTTCTGGCCATTTTATCTCTTGGACCAGTCTATAAAATGATAATGGCCAGCTGCAGTTTCTGGTAGCATGTGTCCTTACTGGTTAAGGCTGGAAGAGGCTGCTTACGTTTCTATCCTAATATCACATTTAGTACAGGCTATTATTCACCTAGAGCCCTGGTGCTGAGTCCTATGACATGCAGGGGTGTGAACTGCATATTTAACATTTTTGAAAGCTGTATATGTAAGCAATGATAACGGAAGAATTTGGAGACCTTTCTTTCATTTTGTTTAAACTTAGAACACCTGCAAGTGACCATGATTTAAACCACAAAAATTAAGATGTTTCAGTAGTAGGTATTTTCCAACAATTATTCAATTTACCTAAATGTGTAATTCTGGAATTTATTATAAACTAAGACAAAACCTGCAGAAAAATTGCACCAATGTGAGCTCTTAAAAGTCAAAATAAAAAACTCTGGTATCTTGTGTGATGACAAACAGGATTCCTATGAAAATCCAGTGAACACTGAGAAATACACTTGGGAAGCATGAGAGGGTCAAACCTACCTAGTAAAAATCCTTCCTCTTATAAACCAATCTGCTTTCATTTTCAGTGCAAAGGAAGCTGTACCAATAACTGACAGGCAGTTACCAGTACTGAAAACATAGGCAGAGCGGCATTTGAAAAGCATGTTGAAGCCTTTTCATGCAAGGGACATTGCCAGGTTGACGGATATGCTCTAGCAGGCAGGAACTAAGTCCAAAATGAGAGACTCTGGAAATTTTGAGTGACTTTGGGTCTGTGCAGCAGCACTAACAGTTAAATAGACTGGGTAACAGCAATTAAGTGAACACTGCTACAATTGCAAAGATTTACAAGCTGCTATTGTTGTTTACTGTCACAGCCCCTCTAAGCGCAGTCAAGGAAAATGTTTTAAGTAGGCTTGAATTTGCACAGAGTGGAGGAATAAAATACATGGAGAACGGTATTTTGTCCTGTATTCTGCCTATTAATGGACGGAAAGAATGCAGCCAGCAGCAAGTAAGCTGGATAATACATTACTCTCCTGTAATATAGGGCGAGAGCAATTCTAGCAGCAGTATTTGTATTTCCTCTTATGTCCTCAACTTGATCCTGGCTTGAGGGGAAATATTTTTGAGAACTTTTTCCAAAGGCAATAAGATATACATGCATGTGTATATACATACACACACGCTAAAAAACTTACATATTTCATTTCTTGCTAACTATTCAGCCCAGGTTTTGTTCTGATCCAGAACTCATTTTTAATTTACCTTGGTCTTTTTTTTTCCCCACAGAAAAAATGAATTGTAGGAAATCTTCCTTTGGAATAAATAATACCACATTTGAAATCATTAGTGTCTTGCAAATTCCATCTATACAAAATGGTATTATTTTAATCTGTTTCACAACACGTAAATAATATTACTGAACAATACAACATTGTATTCCAGCTAGCCATGTTAGGGTATGAAATGCTATCTTTTAGTCTAGTACTAGCTTGCAAAAATGTTATTGCATCTCATCTGGACTCAATAGTTGCAGAGAATTAACAGGGTGTTTAAAAATGAGTAAGGAAAAAATTATTGGTATGACATAGTAGCATATCTAATGTTCCGGATCAAAGTATTTCCTGCTTCTGCTTTTTATGAACAGTTGACACCTTGAACATGAAGGTCGATACTGACTGTATAGATTAGAGGAAGCAGAAGCTTTCAGTAATCTTGTATTCATATGGATTCATTTCCCTAAAACCTGTTTTAATTAAAAAAAAAAATAGGTTATAGTCTAGTAGAAAAATCTCTTAAGACATTTGGATCCATGACAACTCATTACAGTTTCCAGGAAATATCTCTGGCCTTCTTGACATACTTCTCTGCCTGCAGAACTTGGACCAGAAGCCATCCATATCACTCTCAACGTCACCATTTCCAGTCTATCAGACAATAGCTTTTTATAATAAATCAAAATGAAATAAATTGAAAACCTACAAAAATATAAACCTAGAAGTAAATGTGCTAAGCCAAACTAAATACATAGCATCAGCAAGTGTTCTCATGTTTCCTGATTCTTTTTCAGGGTTTCAAATATATAAGTATTCACCTAATTTTGCTTACATCAGTCACATTACTGATTTTAAAAGTTTCAGAACTGAGTTCAAGCCCATTTCTATGACTAGTACTGAGGTGTAGTGTTATCCTATCTCTTCTCCTCTGACTATTAAAAAGGAAGGCCAGAAGCCAGAGTCAAAACACTCTGTCTGACAGCATCTTGATTCATAATTTTTGTTAGATTTGAATTTTGAATGATAAATAGCTGAAGGGTGGGTAAAGTTTGCTGGTCAGTACAGAAAAGGGCAAAACATTCAGTATTGCATCAGTGGAGCACAAAGAATACATAACAACACAAAACACAACTTTCCGTGCTTTAAGGAACAAACAATATCCAGCCCTGTTCGGCTTTTCATAATTACTAAGATTTATGTCTAGAACCAGTAGAATTTTTCATAGCCACTGAGCTTTTGATGGTCCTTAAGAAGCAGAAAACATACTGAGAACATGCCATGTTTATAATTCTGCTGTGCACCTTGTGCAGTGTGATTCAGTTTTACCAAATTGACCCTAAGAATATGTGTTTCC